CAGCACAGGTGCTTCTGTCAGACATTTCTTTAGTTTCTCAAAGCTTTGCTGACATGCATCGGTCCATACAAATTTCACATCTTTTCTTAGAAGTTTGTTAAGTGGAGTTGCGATCGAGGAAAAGCCTTCAACGAATCGTCGATAGTATCCAGCTAATCCAAGAAAGCTTCTCACTTCACGAACATTCCTTGGAACCTTCCACTCGGTGATGGCAGATATTTTACTGGGGTCTACCTTAACACCTTCTTGAGAAATCACATGTCCCAAAAACGTAACTTCATTAAGCCAAAATTCACATTTTGACAGTTTGGCATATAGTTTATGTTCGCGCAGTATGCTGAGTACTATCTCCAAATGTTTCGCATGGTCTTCTCGATTCTTCGAATAAACAAGAATATCATCGATGAATACAACTACGAATTGATCAAGATAAGGTCGGAATACACTATTCATGAGATCCATGAATACTGCTGGAGCATTGGTCAAACCAAAGGGCATTACCGTAAACTCATAATGACCATAACGAGTACGGAACACAGTCTTTGGGATGTCCTCTTTTTTTACAGGGATTTGATGGTATCCTGACCGTAAGTTAATCTTAGAAAATACAGTAGATCCTCTAAGCAGATCAAATAAGTCATCGATACGAGGTAAAGGATATCGATTTTTGATTGTGACCTTTTTCAATTGACGGTAATCGATGCAGAGTCGCATCGAGCCGTCTTTCTTTTTGACAAACAGAACGGGTGCTCCCCAAGGGGAAACACTCGGACGTATGAATCCTTTATCGAGTAGTTCTTGTATTTGAGCCTTCAACTCTTTCATTTCAGCAGGAGCCATGCGATAGGGAGTTGCAGATATCGGTCCTGTTCCAGAAACAAGATCGATGGAAAATTCTATTTCTCTGGAAGATGGTATACCAGGAAGTTTGTCAGGAAATACGTCAGGAAAACCACATACTGTCGGTATGTCTTTCAACTCAGGAGTTTCTTTTCGTGTGTCACGTACGTTACACAGATAAGCTTCACATTTCTTTCGAATGAGACGCCTAGCGTGTATGTACGAGATGAATTCAGTGGATCTAGGTGTTAGATTCTCTTTCACCTTTATAGACTTCCCTCTCCAGACTTTAGTTGAATCGTTGTCGTTGGAAATCGATAATTGCTTGGTGTTCGTTGAGCCAATCCATTCCGAGGATAATGTCAAATTCTTTGTACGGTAATTCGACAAGATTGGCAGAGAACTGATGTCCTTCAACAATCAATGGACAGTCTTGATACACATGATTTAACCTCATACTATGTCCTAACGGGTTAGACACTAGTATAGGTTGTTCTAAGTTTTCTTTCATTATGTCAGCCTTGTCAAGCATAGGCACGCAGATATAAGATAACGTAGATCCAGGGTCTATCAACACATGCATGACAGAATCAAATAAGGAAAACATACCCTGAATGAGGTCAGGGTTTTCCTCAGCTCGTGCCTTCACTGCATAAGTATGAGCAGGAGCTCGTCCCTGTTGCTGACTCTGGTTCTTGGTCGGATTAGATCCCGCCGTTGATCGTTGACTTGGCGTAGGTCGTGCTGATGCTGATTGACTGATAACTGGGGCTGTCGAAAATGGTTTGCCAGGATTAGTGGGGCAATCCCTTCGAAAATGTCCAGGTTTGCCGCAACCTAGACATAATCCTTGGGCAAGCCAACACTCGCCTGGATGATGTCTCCCACATGTATCGCACAATGGGTGTTTCCACCCTCTTGATTTGTTTTCCGACGCCACAGAGTGCGTCTGCACCGATTTCCCTTTCTTTGAGAAGTGTGAATTGCTAGATTCCTGAAGGGGCCTTTTTCCTTTTGAGACAGAGCTGATGGGACGGTGAGTGTTTGAATTGACATTATTTGTCTTTAGATACTCAATGCAAGCACTCAAGTCGCTGTCTGCCCTGGCTATGAGATCGTAGGCCTCTGCGAAATCCACGGTGGTTAGGACGGACACACGCGACCTGAGGTCAGGTCGAAGTTTCTTCCTGAATTCCTCGATGCGATCGGTTGGGGTACTCACTAAGGTTGGTGCAAACTTAGCAAGTCTGGTAAACTTCTGTCGATACTCGGGGAGTGTCATGTCTCCCGAAGTAGCTGAGATGCCAGTCGGGGATAGTTGCCAATGGGTACGTTAAGATCCTCCAATACTCGAGCAGTCTGCTCGATCCAGTCCCATGCAATTTGGGGTTCACCGATGCGATCCCCAAGGAATAATTCTGCACCGTTATCCCTTAATGTTTTGTAGGTTATCACTCGTGGTGGCGGTGGTGGAGGTGGTTGAAACATTGGTGCGTTGGCTATTTGTTGCAACACATTAGCTAGAAAAGCTGGAATCACAAGGTCGGGTTGACCNAACATAAATAATCGATTAAATGGTACTGACTTCGAACCACTGGTCTGAATAAAATTCTAATCGATTTTTAGTAAGTAAATAATCGATTTTCGGCTACTGTTCATCATCTTCTTCCTCGGGTCAGTTTCGAGTATTATGGTTTTAAAACACCAAACTTCAATTAAATTATATAGAAATGTTCTCCAAGGTTCATAGATCATTTTAGAATCATTAAAACATATTTTTAACATCAAATTCAAGGTTTATGATTCTTGGTTCTTTAAACATGTCCAACACAAAACTCAACAAAATGACCATTTATGAACGTAAAAACAACCTATATGAACATTCTAATCTTTAGATATATCTACGGGCTTACTTTGAAGCTAAATGGGTGTTTTGAAGATTTTCCGACGAAACTTCCGGTGACGATAGCTCTCAACTTCGGCGACCTTACACCAAATTGACAGTACCACTGCGTTCTCCACACTCAAGGTTATCTCCCAGAACGAATTTGATGAAGAATGGTGAAGAAATGGTGAAGTTTTTGTTTCCATTATATAGAAGAAGGGAAGGGGAAGAAGACATGGGATGACATGTTGTTCTCCTGTTTTGGCGTCTCAGTGGAGCAGACGGCCGATAACGCAAGTCCCTGATTGGGACCAATTTTGGTTCCAGTTGGGGTACACTTTTTGGTCCAACTTTCTCCAAATTGAAATCCGATTGAACCTTTTGGGATCAGACAGTCTACATAATGATATGATTTTCATTATTTATTGACAAACTTTAGAATTTACTTATTTTTGGGTCCTTCTCAGTAATTAATTAATTATAAATTAATTAACTCTGATAGGCCTATTTTTGGGGTGTTACAATAAGAGTGTGTAATATCTCTTAAACGCCACCTTAGTTTATCCATCACTTTCCTATCCATTTCCCTTACCACCATTTCTCTCCTCAACCCCCTTTCTCTCCTCCTATTAAAATATCAAAAGAACTCCTCCTTCCCATTAACATCACCTTTCCTTCCAGCCCAAAACATTATTCTTCATTTTGGAAAATGGTCGCCAATAATCAATTATTGCAAGGTGATAATCAATTATCAGCTTTCTAGAAGAGCCCTTGATAGTCGATTACTAAACCTAATAATCGATTATTTAGCTCCTATGAAAATCCAAAAGTTCTGTTCCGAGAAGCTGCACCACCTGATAATCGATTATAAAACTGATAATCGATTATCTAACTTTTCTAACAAATGAGAAGTACTCTCCTTGAGTAATAATCGATTATCCAAAGTCACAATCGATTATCAAGCTTCTCTGAAAACTGAAAAGCTTGGTTGAATCAAACTCTTTTTCTTAGCTCGGGCATAACGGCATCCCTTCGTATCGCCTCAAAGAATAACTTGTTTACACCCCGAGTCTCGGATATAACAGGACAGATCCACTCTCTTCGTACGGCGAAGGACAAACTCGATCTCATGGTAGACGCGAACCTCAAACCATTTCTTGCCTTCGTCATCAGTCTTTTGCAAGCCGACCTCAGTCTTCCCCCACTCATCAAAGTACTTAGGAAAATTTTCCACCAACACCTCCTTGAACGCAGGGGACTCCACAAATTTGGCCACAACTTGGTCCTTCTCGAGCTCAGCCAAGTTCTGACGAGGGATAGCCTCCGTAAGCTCAATATCCTAAATCAACCCTCTTCTCTTGTGACTCATGGAGTTTCTCCTTAAGGCCAACCACCTTTTCATCAGCGTCCCGCTATTGGGCAGCCATCGAACTTATGAGTTGAGACATGGACTTCTCCGCCTCTTTTAGCAACCCCTGCAACTTGATCTCCTCTTCAGATTTTAACATCACCTAGAGCTGAAGCTTGGACACCTACTAATTATGGGCCTTGGCAACCTTCTTCAGGCGGCCAAGCTCTGTCTCCATAGAGGATAAGAAGTTGGCCGCTAAGATTAACTACGCGCTAAAGAGGCGAGCACTAATGGCGTCCAACTTACTCGTTGCATACAAAACACAGGGTCAGTCGGCGAACAAAGACTAAGAAGCTATCATCTATTCATCAATATTACTTCTTACCTCCGCCATGCCTTTTTTAGAGTCTTTCGCAAGGACAAAAGAATCTTGTCCTCGTCCTTTAGCGAAGAAGACAAGAATCTGGCCTCAGCCTTAGCGTGACCATCACCCTCCCCACTAACAGTTCCTTGGGGAGCAAACTTCCTGCCTTTGGATTTGGGCGTGCACTCAACTAGGAGCGTCTCTAGTGACCCTCCTCCTCTTCGGTATGCTGCCTAAAGCTTGGGATGGGCTAGGGATAGTAACCAGAGCAGAATCGCAGAATTCGGGAGCTCCACTCGGCAACTGGGAATTTTTCCTTCACTCTGAGCTTGGGACGAGCCTTGGTCCATCCGCTTCCTCATGGTACCAGCATGATACATTTCAACTGAAATGAAAAAAATCTAGCATTTGGAGGATACTTGTCAAATAAGGAAGATAAAGGAACAAGATAAACGTTCATCATTTCCATCTTTGGAGGACAAATCAGAATCACTTTCCTCGTTAAGATCAGAAGGATGCACTTGCTCATCTTCGATCTGCTGGTCGTTCTTGGCATCCTTGAATTAGCCTCCTTGTCATCCAACCTGCTAGCGTGCGTATCTTCAAGGCCTCACCTTGGTCTTCCCCTCTAACCACCCTGACAAGCTCATATTGGCAGTCAAGCAAAACAAGGAGCTCAGTTTTACCCATATTCTTTCTTATATAGATCGCGTGCACATGGGGAGGATTCGGGTGACAATGTGCAAATAACTTCTTGGCATACTTGAGAAGCTCTAGAGTGGCCTTAGGATGATGATGACGGAGGAAGGAGCGGCATGCAGGAAACCTCGCCAAAAAAGGTTGTCGATCCCCGGTTAATCTAGAGACAATGACAAACTTGGATTTCCAACATTTGAGAGACGGTGGAAACGCCACAAGGCTGTACTCATTATGGGCAAACACACTAGCGTACGACTTTGACTCAGTGAGGCCGCCTAAGAAATCTTAAACAAATAACTAGACAGATCTAGAGACCAAGGGACCGTGACACTTGATCAAAAAGACAAAAAAAAACAGTAGTAGGAGTGGGGAGTGAGCTGACCCGGGAGAAGAGAATAAAAGTTCAAGTACTGCATAATCAAATGGTGCTGTGAAAACCTAAGGTCGTACCTCATCGATGCCACAGGAACTCCGACCTCGGCATCGGGACATATTATGGGAAAAACGTGGTTCGTGGGATGAGGCCGGCGAATGACATAACCCTCCCCCACTAGCCTAAGGGCTTTATTAAAATTGACATCTTAGAGCTGGCAACTCGTATTTATGATATGGACGGTCTCCAACATCGTAACAGGCAAAGGCTTAGGGTTTCGTCCGGGTTTGGTTTTAGGCTTAGAACGACGAGAAGTTTTGTGCGAGGGGACCCTTAAAGATGAAGCCACAATGGCCCCCGTGTTGAGGGGCACCACGCTCATGATCGGAAATTGTCCAGCCGCCCCCTCAACCTAGCGGTGTGGAGAAGCGGTTGTACCATATACATCTCTACAAAACTCTCCGCCGCCAAATCGCAGTTAGGCGCACCATAGATCCTTGGGTAGACATAGACAGGGGAAAGGAAGGGAACGACGACTCACCTTTTGATCAGAGATGATGAGCTGAAACGACTCGGACAGCGGGAGACAAACATGACAATCGTAGAAGCAGAGAAGAATGGAAGAAATTGGGGAAAATCAACTTATATTCTGAATGATCCGACCCGACTCGAAGCCCAGATCGCATCGAATAGGGGTGACATGGCAAAATCAGCACAGTTAACACACAAATCGCCACAGGCAGTTATCAGGAAACAGCTGGAAAGTTGGAGGGAAAGAATGATATATACATCCCAAAAACAATCATGACAATTTAAAATTCAAACTGACACGCCTAAACATTTTTCCGTGTGTTAATTCACTCCTTAGACCTTTGCACGTACTCAGGCTGAGCAGTGGGGGACTGCTCATACTTGGCCAAGAATTTTTTTCAAACTTCCACTTTGAGATTTTTGTACTTCTATACAGCCTCGACACACTCAACCTAGGAAGTGGGGGACTCATGATGGATACCCTGGACTAAGGGGTATCCAGCCCAACAAAACAAGTGGCCCAACAAAGGCCCATCTAATCGCAGGAATTAGACACGCTCGGCCAAAGACGCCCTGCTCAACCAAGCGGGAATCAGGTCCTTGTTCGGCTTTCTTCCAACGCCAGAATATGTGCACTCATTTTTTGTACTCAACCTCTGCCGCCAGCAAAGCACTGTGGACCTACTACGAGCGGGGGAGCATGTATGCTCTGTGTAATCAAATGGGCCCACACCTTGTAGCCACCCTATTTGTAATCTTATTTATTGTATTGTCATTCAATAGCAGACACGCTTCTTGAAAGTCGGTTTACACCCTAAGAGAGGGTGAATTAGGGTGTTTGCAAATTTTTAGTAAAAGCAAAAACTTATGCGCAAAGTAGTAGCGAAAAAAGAGCAAGAAAAGTATAAAAGATAAAAATAAATTGTTAGTCGTTTTAGTCGTTGTGCCCACGCCTTAGAGTGGGGGGGGGGGGGGGGCTGAATAAGGCGTTTGAAAATATTTTCGGAGTTTGATAAAAATGGTGTTGGCAAATGCGGAAGCAGTATACAAAATGCAGAAATAAAAGCGTAAATAAAATGCACACCGATTTTATACTGGTTCGGGATGAACACACTTAGAATAAAAAGAGAGGATGTTTAGAGCTTTATTTCTAGTTGAAATATGAAGTATTAAGCCTATATTTATAGTGGAAGATGTTAATTAGCCGTTAGGAGGTAATTAGAGTTGAATTAATTCAAAAATCAGCAATCAGGAATAGTGTTCCAACGGTAACGGTACCCTGTCACGGTAGCTAGGTCCCGTACGGTAGCTAGGTACCTTCTCAGGCCAAAACTCTCTGACGGTACCTATACATGGTACCTATACACGGTAGGGGGATCCCGTCTCAGATTAACTCATGGTACCCCACACAGTACCTAGGTACCTTATGACCATTTTGACAATTTTTTCATTTTTGTCCAAATCATATCCAATTTTGTTTAAAACCTTTTGGATGTTTGGAAATGATTATAAAAGGGGTTTAAACATATTTTGTGAGTGTTTTTGAGCTTGTGAATATAGGTATATAAAATCATATCCTTACATCGATTTCTACCTAAATTCTACGCTAGTTTAGTGTTTCGACTTCATTCTTTAGAACTGAGTCTTAATGGATTCTCGTTGTACCTGAAACACTTAAACAAACGTCATGCTCTTATATTGTTTGTTAACATCAAAATATGAGGCTTAGCAAACCAAGGCTAACAATCTCCCCCTTTTTGAGGTTGACAAACAATATACTTCAAAGTGAGTTAGGCGGAAGTAAAATAATGAAGCAAGCAAGCTCCCCCTAAGAATATGCATATTGAAAATACTCACTTTGAAATTTTTCTTGTGTTTATAAAAGTTTAAGTTTGATGCAATTAGTTACACAAGAATGCACTCAAGTTAAGTTGCATATGCACCACTTTGAAGTATACATCTTCTCTCCCTTTTGTCAAAATCAAAAAGAGCATTTTGAAAATTTTAACCATGTATAACTTCTTGAAACCCCCCCCCCCTATCAAAATTAATTTTTTAGGAAAAATGATAGTTTTGAGATCATTGGGCAAAAGGTGCATTTACAACAAAACTCCCCCTAAAAATGAAAACCCCCCCTAAAATGATGCAAGTTTAAAAAAATTAATTTTTTCAGGGATTTTTGGGGATTATTTTCTAAAATGCATGATTTAAAGATGATTTTTAAAAAAATTTTAATCATGCAAACCAAGGCTAAAGCAATTAAAAGCACGTGTGGGATAAGGTTTTATTTTTGAGTGAAAGGGCATAAGTAAATCATTAAAATATATCATTAACTTTACACAATAATTTCTAAACTCGTAGGAGTATATCTCGGTGATGCTGAACAAGCTAATAGAGGTTTGGCATTTGTTTTCTTCCTGCAAATGATGTTAGTAACATTTGGAAGACTTATTTGGCACATCAAAACGGTTACGGGGTACGGCATTCAAGGCCAACAATCTCTCCCTTTTTGATGTTGACAAATAAGGCTTTCGAATATACTCCCTCCGTCCTAGAGTATTTGTCCACTTTCATTTTTACACATCATCCAATACACTTCTTTAATCCATTTTATCTTGTAATTTGTATATTAAAAAATTATAGAAATTATATATTAATAATCTTTATGTTAAGACAAATCAAACAAGATCACACATGACTATATTTAGGCTTACACATTGAGAGAATTTGATGTGTCAAAGTTTTTAGATGAACAGTTCCAAAAGTCAAAAGTGGACGAATATAGCGGGACGGAGGTAGTAATAATCAAACGCACAAACATATCGTGAAAAGCATATATTGATTTTAAAACTCTCCCTAAGTTGATGCACGTGATATTTTGACAAAAACTCCCCCTAAATGTATGCATATGAAAGCCGAATATTTCTCCCCCTTTTGGCAACATTCAAAAAGGCGGGGTACCAAAAACATGAGTTTCAACACAGAGGAATTCATCATGGCAACAATTAGCAAATCAAGCATAATCAAACCATAAGCAAGCAAATCATAAGCATAATCATAACAAAGGAGTTTGAGTCATACAAGTGCATAAACAAGAGTTTGAAACATAAACATGACAAAGAGTTTTAAAACTTAGGCAAAATACATAATGTTTGATCATATTGTCAAATGCTCAACACTTAGCGACGACGTCTAGAAACACGATCCTCATTTTGCTTTTGGCGATTCTCACGGTCCTCCATCTTCTTCATCCGATCCGATAGGTCATCGAGGCTTTCTTGAATGTTCTTCATCGGAGCCATTACGGTCTTGAGGATGAATTTCTTGAACTTCTTGAAGGGGTTTTTGGAAGTGGAAGCCATTTGAGAGTGACAATGCAAGAGAGAGGCCGAGAAAGCATGAGACGCCGACTTTGAGCGTTTGACCCGAGGAGCACGAACGGGGACCTCCCTGTTGGCATTGTCTTCGGCATCGGCCTTTGGTGCGCGTGAAGTGGATGGCACGGAGGACAATGATCGTTGAGGGCCATACTCCGCTCGTGTAGCTTCATCAAGATTCTGGAACTCCTTCTTCATGTAGTACTCCTCTCCAATCTTTACAAGGCCACAATAGCCAAGGCACTCCGCGTCAAGATAGCGGACGCGGGACAGGCGCACCTCAAGAATTTCCCTCTTGGCAAAGATGTGGGTAGGAAGCATGCCATAAGGTTTGTTTTGGTGATTCGAGCATTCCTGCATGTGGCGAAGGATGATGGAGGGGAGATTGATTTTCTTGTGAGTGAGTAGAAGATATAGGAGAGTGGATTCATAGACCCCAACTTGTTTATCTTTGTTAAGAACGGGGATGACATTTTCTTTGAGGCTTTTGAGGAGAATGAACCGATTTGCGGGTAAGTCTTGGGCATTTGGCCTACGGAGAAAGTAGTGTGGGTCCTCAAAGACATGGTCAAGGGCAATGTTATTTAGCACTCGGAGGCAAGAATCGGAGTTAATGTCTCGTGAGTCGGTAATCCACCCCTTTTTGCAATAGGTGGAGACTGACGGCCTAGGTGAAACCATTTGGAGAGATTTTGTGTGTTGAATCCGAAGGTTTTACCGGCAACTACCGCGGTAATGGAAGGATCTTTGGGATGGTATTTCATTGAAGAATAGAATTGATGAACGAGTTCCGGGTAAACGGGGGCTTGGAGGTGAAGAAAGAAACTCTAACATTGTTTTTGAATTAGTTCAAGAACGGGAACCGGGATGTCATCTTTTTTAAGGGTTCTTCCCTCGATGATATGTGGGTCGGCGTAAGCCTTGAACCCGGCTTGAGCATGAACTTGATCATTGGAAACAATTTCACTCATTTTGGGAGAAAATTGAGAAGATAATGACTTTTGGGCGAAAAGAGTGAGAATTGATAGCAAATTGATGGATTGAAGATAATACACGAAGAATTGAATCTAATGGATGATGAAAATGATGAAATTGGAATGAAAATACCTTGGATTGAAGGACGGTAGATAGAGACGGGAGGGAGACGGCAGAAATTGCAGTGGTCGAATGAAACGAGAGTGAGAGGAATGAAAAAAAACTAGGGTTTTAAATCGGTTAGACCCGATGAGACGGTCGGTACCTTGGTACTGTGTTAATGGTATCTTGGTACCGTGTATACGGTATGGTGTACCGTGTCCAGCTACCGTGAAGCTTCCAAAATCCCATTCGTTTCTGGCGGCACCTATTCAGGACGGGATCAGGGTACCGACAAGGGTACCATGTCTCAGCTTAATATTTTGTTTCGACTTCTAGACGCGTGTTTTGAGCATTTGGACTTGATCAATTTATTTTTATGATATAATGGGATAATAAGAACCTTAAATTTCACTTTTATTCAAGCATTCCCATTTCCCGACAAATATGTAAAAATTGTTTTTCATCCAATGGTTTTGTAAAAATGTCGGCACGTTGTTCAAGCGTATTTACATATTCAATTTGAATATGTCCTTTTGAAACATGGTCACGTACGAAATGATGTCTTATTTCTATATGTTTAGTTCTAGAATGCAAAACGGGATTTTTGGAAATATTTATTGCACTTGAGTTATCACAAAAAATAGGTACTTTTGAAAATTTTAAATTGAAGTCACTAAGTGTTTGCATCATCCATAAAATTTGAGCAACACAACTACCCATAGCCACATATTCCGCTTCGGCGGTGGATAGGGCGACGGAGTGTTGTTTCTTAGATGACCAAGACACTAGTGCATGACCTATGAATTGACATGTGCCACTTGTGCTTTTCCGATCAATACAACACCCGCCAAAGTCAGCATCACTAAAACCTATCAAGCTTAAATTTGTATTCTTAGGATACCATAACCCCATATTGGTCGTTCCCTTGACATATCGAATTATTCGCTTGACGGCATTAAGATGTGATTCTTTAGGTGATGATTGGAAACGTGCACAAAGGCAAACGGAAAACATTATATCGGGTCTAGATGCAGTTAAATAAAGCAAACTACCAATCATACCTCGATATACCTTTTCATTTACGGGTTTTCCGCTTTCGTCACTATCAAGCTTCAAGGATGTGCTCATTGAAGTTGGATATGTTTTTGAATCTTCAAGGTTGAACTTCTTGACTAATTCTTTGGCATACTTGGTTTGACTAATGAAAATGCCATCTCCAAGTTGCTTAATTTGAAGTCCAAGGAAGAAGTTCAACTCACCCATCATGCTCATTTCAAAATCGCTTGTCATAATTCCTGAAAATTCATTACATAAGGCTTCATTAGTTGACCCAAAAATAATATCATCAACATAAATTTGCACGATTATGGGATCATTTCCTTTTGTTTTGACAAAAAGTGTTGAATCGATCTTTCCTTTTGCAAATCCATGTGAGATGAGATGTTCGGTAAGCCGCTCATAGCAAGCTCTACGAGCTTGTTTGAGTCCATAAAGAGCCTTATGAAGTTTAAAAACATGATTTAGAAAATCAGGATTTTCAAAACCGGGAGGTTGTTCAACATAAACTTCTTCTTTTAACCATCCATTGAGAAAAGCACTTTTAACATCCATTTGAAAAAGTTTGAAATTAAGAGCACTTGCAAAGGCTAATAACATTCGAATAGATTCAAGCCTAGCAACCAGAGCAAAAGTTTCATCATAGTCAAGTCCTTCAACTTGGCTATAGCCTTTAGCAACAAGTTGACTTTTATTAGTGATAATAACACCATTTTCATCAAGCTTGTTTCTAAAGACCCATTTAGTGCCCACAACGGGTCGGTTTTCCGGTCTTTCGACTAGTTCCCAAACCCTGTTGCGTTCAAATTGCTCAAGCTCTAGTTGCATGGAAATAATCCAATCACTATCTTTTAGCACATCTTCTACGTTCTTAGGTTCAAATTGACTAACGAACGCATAGTGTGCACAAAGATTGTAATTGTTCCTAGTTCTAACTCCCTTTTCAATATCTCCAATGATATTGTCTCTTGGATGATTCTTCAAGTGTTTGTATGCCTTCGGTAGTTCCTTCTTTGCACTTTCTTCTTCTTGCGCAGGAATTTCCAAGATTTCTTCTTCCTCTTCTTCTTCATTTGAACCTGCAATTACCTTACTCGACCCAAAGGGATCGGTTTCATCAAATTTTACATGCATAGATTCTTCTACTTTATGATTTGATTTATTATATACCCTATAGGCTCTACTATTTGTTGAATAACCAAGGAAAATTCCTTCATTTGATTTAGGCTCAAATTTGCCTAAATGATCCTTGGTATTCAAAAAATAACATTTACACCCAAAAACTTTGAAATAGGAAATGTTTGGTTTTCTACCTTTCCAAAGTTCATAGGGAGTCTTTTTAATAATAGGTCTAAGTAATACCCGGTTAAGAACGTAGCATGCCGTGTTGACCGCTTCTCCCCAAAAATATTGAGGTAGGTTATGCTCATTCTACATGGTCCTTGACATTTCTTGCAACGTCCTATTTTTCCTTTCAACGACTCCATTTTGTTGAGGTGTTCTAGGAGCCGAAAAGTTGTGAGAAATACCGTGTTCATCACAATATGTTTCAAAATCGGTATTCCAATATTCTTCTCCTCTATCACTTTTAATAGAGGTTATTTCATAACCTTTCTCATTTTGGATTCTCTTGCACAACTTAACAAACGCATTAAACGCATCATCTTTATTGGCAAGTAATATAGTCCAAGTATAACGAGAAAAATCATCTACTATTACAAAAGTAAAACTAGCTCCACCTAGGCACTGAACGTCTACGGGCCCAAATAAATCCATATGTAATAGTTCAAGTGGCCTTGATGTTAAAACCATTTTTATGGGCTTAAATGAAACTTTATGTTGTTTTCCAAGGGAGCAAGCATCACAAAAACGAGAAGTAGATATGCTCATTTTTGGTAGACCAATAACAAGTTCTTTTGAGTAAAGTTTTATCAAAAGATCATAACTAGCATGTCCTAGTCTACGATACCATAATGTTGAAAATTCAAGTGAAGTAGTAAGACAAGTGATTTTTGAGTTGCTTAAGTCATTGGAATTGAACTTGTATAAGTTTCCATCTCTTTTAGCCTCAAAAATGATTTCATCTTTATTTTGGCCATATAAAACGCCGGAATTTGCATTAAACTCAATTTTGTGGCCATTGTCACAAAGTTGGTTTATGCTAATTAAATTAAATTTTAGGCCATCAACAAGATAAACATCATTTATTGAAAAATCACTTGAAATACCTATCGTACCTTTACCAATGACTTTCTTCCGGGATTTGTCTCCAAGGGTCACATGTCCATGACTTTTCTCCTTGAGATTTGTGAACCATCCTCTTGTTCCGGTCATGTGCCTTGAACATCCACTATCCACAATCCAAGTGGTATTTTTCACCTCTTCTTCATCATTGGAGGCCATGAAACAAGCATTTGCATTCTCTTCTTGGCTTTGGTCACTATCACTTTCGTCGGAGTTTAGATCGTCCCAAGTGACTTTTAGTGCCTTCTTCTTCCCCTTTTTCAGCTCTTCCTTCTTTTTGAGCTTTGGGCACTCCGATTTGATATGACCTACATTTCCACATTCATAGCAAGTTATTTTATTAGGTTTACCTTTATTTGATGTAAATCTTTTTGAGGATTCGCCCTTGTTCCATTTCATAAACTTCTTGTATCTCTTGAACATGGCAAGCTCCTCATCACTTTCTCCTTCGCTCACCGGATGATCATCAATTTTGAGTGCCATGGTCTTCTTGATGATAGGAACCTGTTCTTCTTCCTTCATTTTCTTCAAAAGAAGCTCGTGAGAGTATAGGCTCCTCCAAATGGTGGAGGTTTCAACATCCGCACATTTGGGCAACAAGTTTACAACAAGACTATGCCACTCTCTAGGAAGAGAGAATATAATCTTGGTGTTAATCTCACTAGTAGGATAAACTTTATTTAGCTTACTCAAATTGTTGACAATGAGGTTGAATCGTTTGTTCATATCTTGAACAGATTCTCCAGCCTTCATCTTGAAGTTTTCATACTCGGATGTTCCTAAAGCTATCTTGGTAGCTTTTGTGTCTTTATCTCCTTCATGAGTGGCTTCTAGGAGCTTCCATGCTTCCTTTGCGGATTTGCAAGAGCTCACCCTAGCAAACTCATCTTGACCCAAGGCACAAACCAACACGTTTAATGCTTTGGCATTCAAGGAGAGTTTTTTCTTGTCGTCGGTGGTGAGTTTGTCCATTGGAGTAGGAACTTGGTGTTCACATACAGTTGTCATACGAACAAACGGACCATGAGTAGTGACTATCCATAAATCATAGTCAATAGATTGAATGAAATTCTCCATTCGCATTTTCCAATAACCATAGTTATCCCCATTGAAGAATGGTGGCTTAGTAATGCTTTGGGAGTTCATTGAATCCATGTGTCGTAAAAAGACGTAAAGAATGAGTGTGAAAGGATCAAACTTCCTGCTCTGATATCAATTATTAGTCATTTTAGTCGTTGTGCCCACGCCTTAGAGGGGGGGGGGGGGGCTGAATAAGGCGTTTGAAAATATTTTCGGAGTTTGATAAAAATGGTGTTGGCAAATGCGGAAGCAATATATAAAATGCAGAAATAAAAGCGTAAATAAAATGCACACCGATTTTATACTGGTTCAGGAACTCCCTACTCCAGTACCTCGAGGCTCCTCCTCAAGGATTTCCGAATCCACTAAGTTCCGGCCTCTTGAACTCCGTCAAAGCACCGCACTAGTTTGGCAAACAACCCTTGCCAATAGGATTCACTCCGAGATTTCACCACGGCTATCTCGAACCGTTTACAATGAAGATTTAACGGCTATCTTCTACCGCTCCCCCAAGGATTTCAAAGGCTATCCTTGAACCTTTACC